ATAAGAATTAATCTTACCTTAGCTTTAAATGATCGATTTATAGAAATATTGAGAGGTTGAAGTTTTGAGGTTAAACCTCCCGAAATTATAGCAATATCAGTTTTTTGTTCTTTAAAATTCCATTTTACCAGATCTGATATATGCGCTCTAAATGAATCCATAATTAACAATGATTGTGGTCTAGGAGAAGAACGTTTTGACCAAATATTATGAATCTACTATATCATCTCAGTTTCATTCATCCAACCAGTCAGGTTTGCTCTTACAATAACATTAAAAGGAAAATTTTCATGTAGGATATTTTTGAGCTTAAAAATAACCAACAGAGGTAATTTCATTCTATTAAATATACAAGCCAGAACTACAGTAAAATATGATTTTTCATGGCCTGTCATTAAAATATTAATTGTACGATTACCACATTCATCAATAGTTAAATTCTCTGAAAGATTCATAGTTAAAGGGGTTTCATCAATATTGCCTATCAACCTTAATTCATAATTATGTTAAATTCATTTGTATAATATATAAGATAAGAATTTATGCTGCAATTCAATCATATCTTCTGGTAATCTTTGTGAAGTAGTTGTTCATCGACGAGTACTTAGATTATTTCGCAATATAAATCTATCAATCCATTTATAGGAAAATATAAATGATCCTATGTCCAGATATTTATTAATTCATGCTAATTGTTTAGCTAATCCTTTTGCCTTTAACTGTACCATGCATCTAGTAACTTGCTTTCCTCTTTGACGAAGTTCTTTAATCCAAGATACAAGAGACTTCTCTAACTCAGGATATTTTGCCTTGGCTCCATCTCCTAAACGTTTTATATGAGGTCTTGCTTTCATCAACATCTCTTTCTTTTCTCTCCAGTCACAGATTTGTTTAGGTTTAACATTAAATTTTGCAGCAGTAAGATGTATACTGCACTTTTTTTCTTGAAATAAAACAGCTGCAAGCTTTTCTCTAGCATTCCAACTATGACATTTCTTGTCAGTAATAGTAGCCCTTTTAACAAATTTATTTTCTCGAACCATCTCTATAATATTATCAATCTTAATACAAGTATAACACGAACTCTAACGCAAAAAAAAAAAAAAAGATCTAAGTAAATCAATTTCAAAACAAAGTAATTTATAGCTAGCTCATATGATTTGCAATTTTGTATCAATACAATTTTTTTTAACTCTGCAAAAATACAGTTAATTATATGAGCAAGTAGATACAATTTTTTTATTCTTACCTTAGTATATTTTATATTACCAATTACTTTTAGTTATTAGATATTTTAAGCATAATAGTTTTATTTCATATGAAACTTTTAGATAATAAAAAACTAAGAAAAACGTTCACAGACAAGCTGTGGCCCAGAGAGCTTCTAGTTCTTTGAATCTTATTAACTAATACTATTCACAACCAAATTCTAATTTTTTTTTGCCTATTATTCATTTGAAGATTTTATAACATATTATAATGATAGTTCAAAAAATACCAAATTATCAGTCTAGATAAATTTATACCAAATTTTTTATACAAAATGTATAATGTTTTAATAAATTTTAAATCTTTCCTATTTTTAATCTAATTCTTTACATTCTTAAATATAAATGTTGGTTCAAATCTACTATGGCCACTCTAAAAAATTTCCAAAATTAATTTATTAAAATTATATAAACTACAATATAAATTATATAATGTTTAATTACCTGAATATACTTTTTGAATGCTTCAAAAATTTCACGGTTTCAAATTAGACGTCTTATAAACAATTACAAAATATTGAGGTTTTGAAAAATAATATAATAATAACTAAAATATTAACTAATATTATAGCACATCTTCTTAAAGCCATCCTTACAGTATAAAAAAATTGAATATTTCCATTTTATCTTTTTATTTCTGTAAAATCTCTGTGAATCTATAGCGATAGAATATGGATTAACTTTTTAAAGTTATACTAGAATATGTCAATTTAATATTTTATAAAAATTAGCAACAATACTATACTTACAAGACACTTTGCAAACAAATATAATTACAAAAAGAACTCCACAAATTGATATATATAAGAAGTTCAAAGATTAATTTAGGGAATTAGATGCATATACAGGAAGCTCTTACTCAAATCATATTTGTACGTATGTAGATATATACATATGTACATATATTATACATATGTACGTATATATATATATGATATTATGTGATATAATAGCACTAATCATACTTTATTTTCTATAACCAATCATATTTATTTAAAATATTATTCAATAGCACGTCTGAAATATGTGCCAGGTTTGTGGCGCAGCAAAAATCTTTAAAGTTCGTTAATATTAGGGTTAGCGTGGTTAGCATTTATAATAAGATTAGAGGTTAGGTAATTATATAGTAAAATCGCTCAAGAAAAACTTTTTGTTAGAGCAATAAAGCTGGTTTCTTATACAGATTTTCAAGAAACAAGCGATTTTTAACAAAACGAACGTTTGTTTTGAATTTTTCTAATCGTGTTATATTATACCTGATCTTGAAATCTGATTCGTAGTTTAGGCAATATGCGCCACAGTTGCGCCACAAACCTGGCACACATTTCAGACATGCTATTCAATATACCCTCTTCAAATTGTACCCTTCTCTTCACACAGTACTTTGGGTACAAATCAAGTTAATCCGGATGTTTTTGATATATACCCCAGGTACTGTATACAGTGCTCTACGGTACCTGATTTTTGTCACGTTCCTTACTTAAATTATTTATATACATAGTAAAATAATATATAATACGTATATTTCAATCAAATTACTGTACTAATTAAAATTTATTTTTATTCTATATTTGACTAGAATTCGAATATAATCTTATAATCATATTGTAGAGTACTGTATTTAATTCCTGAGATACAAATCAAAAACTATATCTAACTTAATTTGTATTTGGAAGATATCATATAAAGAAAGGGATAAAATCTAAAGAAAACAAATTTTGAATAATTCTTAGACAGGATTATATAAATATTAAATAATAATCGTGAAGTTTTGATTTAGTAAATACTATTATAGGTAGATATAGAATACAACACCCTATGGTAATTGGTAAATATATGGGACTCTGCAATTAAAGTAATTGTATTTTGTTGAAAAAAGATCTTAGATCCTATTTAGCAGAGAAATCTATTGCTAGATAGATGATATCTTGAATAGCAGAAGAAAGTATTTCATTTTTTTCTTCTTCATTAGCATCAATAGATTCTTCAATTTCATTTGCCAATATCTCTATCTATATGTTCAAGAACTCACCAAACTTTTCTTGTAAAGAATCAGAATCAGACATTTCATCAAGGTCTTCATTTGTGATAAGATTCTCATATTCTTCAGGTCTTGGTTCAATTTTATCAGATTTCTCAAACTCACTACTATCAAATTCTTTATTTTCTTCAAAATTAATATCTATTTGATTATTATCTAGAAGAGTAGGTGGAGGCAGTTCAACAGAATCTGATTTTTTTGCATATTCTTATAAAATAGCAACTCTTAATTTATATATATCAAGAGCTTTTGATAACTAAAAAAAAAAAAAATTTATCGAAATATTCAAAAAATATTACCTATATTTTTTTGAAATAATATCTAGAGTTGTAGTTAAAATTTTGTTCTAAATTTAGAACAAAATTTTAAACTACACTTCTGGGCATTATCTTAAGATAATATAGTAATAAAAATTATAAATATTCATAATTAATCTATTTCGTCAGTCTGTTTGTAAAAAGCCTATGCAACTTCAAAGACATTCAATAACAGCTGTATTAACACAAACTCTATATAACCAACAAGCAACTAGTCCTAATTCCTTCATCGAATTTTTAACAAAACTCCTATATCGTACAAGCACGAAATAATACGCAGGAGTTTAATTTCAAATTTTGGCCTAAATTAATCTTAATTCAGGCCAAATTTCAAAATAATGCCCCTGCACATTATTTCGTACTTGTATAGTATTTAAAATACTACCAAATTGATTATAAGTTTTATTATTATATGGATAGCTTCCCAAGATAAAATGATTAAATTCATATAAAATACAAGTAGGATCATCATTAAACTAGGCATTATAATAATAAGACAGGTATATTTCTAATTTTGAATAATTAATAATTGATTTGTCTTTAAAATATATTATTTGATACTTAGAATACAACAAGTATGCCAAGATTAAAAAAGGCTGTTTCTAATTCTTTCACTTTTTGTCTAACTTTTGCAAAATTTTTTCAGCAAGTTGTAGATTAGTATAATTGTTTCAAAATTAAACTAAATATGCAAGATTATATATAATATAAATTAATCTCACATTGTTGCTTTGCAAAATATTTAATATTTTGCAATAAGGATATAAGATTTTCGCAATTATTGTCAAATTTAATCAAAAATAATTTGTATTAATAATATCAAAAATTTTACAATGAATTGTTAAGTTTTCTCTGGTTCTAGTTTTTCATCAGCTTTGGAAATGTGGTAACTAATAGTTAAGTGCAAATATCTAAAAAAAAAAAAAAAAGTGTATGTTTGAAATCGTTGAGTATTTAGATCAAATTTAATATAGGTGATGCTATTAACAAAATTGATTATTAATCAATTAATATAAAATATATTTTTATTATTAAATTGATCTAAATATTTTAATATATTTTATTTACCTGCAATGCTTGTTTAGTTTTTAAAAAACAAGGCATTACTATATAGTAGCTATTCTATTTGGTCTTATTCAAAATAGCTATTCTATAATATTTATTATAGGTTTTTTTTTGTTAATCACGTAATTGCATAATAAAGTATTTATTTCTTGTATTTTTAAAATAAGCAGCTAATCATATTGCTTGATCTATTGTAGTTTTTAGATTTGTTAATATTTTAAAGACTTCACCTATATATAGGTTTAGCTAGTATTTATAGCATAATAAGAATATAATGTTTTTGTGAATAAGTTTTAACTTTTGTCTAATATTCATGTAAAGATAAATAAAAGATAGATTAAATGAGTGATACCAAGAGAAAAAGCACTTCAATCATATAAATTTTATATAATTGGAATGATTTTTCTCTTGGTATTACTCATATAATGAAGAAATAGAACAAAAATATTTAAATGCTACATATAGACCTGTATATATATGCTGATAAAATTATTTTGGGTTTCATACAAAATTAAAATTTGAAAACAAAATTGTTTTTGATCTATTTTATTTAAAAGATAAAATTTTTTGACACTTTTTTTGAAGAAATAAAATTATAAAAAATATAACTATCTAAATTAGATTTGCTCTTGCATATAAAAAATTCTAAATTGCTCTAATAGAGACAAAATAGGGTTTTTTTGAAAACCTATTTCAGTGGCATATATAGGCCTGTACTGTCTATAACAACTACAAAGACTTTGATATTTATATTTTTTAATTCATTGATTATTACATTTGTTTTTTCATAATATTGATATGCGATTCTCTCTTTAAGCTAATATTAATGACTTTCTACACATATGGTTTACTATTTAATATAATAACCATTACTTCTATATTAGCAAATTTATAATAGCATAATCTTATATAAGATCTTACGAACTATAATATAAGCAAAATATTTCATAATATATTTTAAAATATTTCAAAAAATCAAATTTTCTAAATATTTTGTAAGTAATTTTGAAATATTTTAAAATATATTATGAAATATTTTAAACTCTTTCAAAATATTTTAAAACTAGAAAACCAAGCTAGATCAGTAGATCTATAATCTAAATCACATATTAGACTAATATTTTGAATTAGTTTGAAATAGTTTGATAAAATTAAATTCTGTTTTATAAGATCAAATTAGATCTTTTGTTTATAATTAGATCTTCTATTTTGTTTTTTTTTATTTTTTTGTTTCATTTTGTTTTTTATTTTCATTTTGTTTTTTTGTTTTTGTTTTATTTTTTCATTTTTTTTTATTTATTTATTTTTTAATTTATTTTATTTTATTTTTATTTCAGCATTTTACAAAAACATCTTTGCAAAAAAACAAACAACAATTTGAAATCTTGTGCATACCAACTCAAACTTCTGACATATTCAAAAATATATAACTGATTTTTTTAGCAATTTTTAAATTTCTAGAAATGCTTCTTTAGAGAAATAAACACAAGATTTCACAAGTATTTGCAAGTTTTCGCAAGTTTTTACAAGGTTTTACTTTATTTATTTTTTATTTTGTGTTATTTGTTTTTGTTTTTTTTATTTTATTTATTTTTTTTATTTATTTTTTTTGTTTACGCATCTAAGTATACTTTATGTCCTCCTTGGCCTGATATTCCTAAACACCTTAGGAGTCTGTTAGTCTATTTTTATTTTTTCTATTTTTAGACTATCTGTATCTCCTTAATCTATACTCAGTCTCCTAGATATCCCTTCATTCGTTTCTCTGCCTGCCAGCAGTGTTTTTAGTTTCAGCCTCCATCTTGTCCTTCTTCTAGTGATCTGTTCCATGCTTTTCAGTACTTCTCTTGCTATTTTTGGTTTGTTTTAGATTTTGGTTATCCTTCTATTTCGGGTGTAGACAGAGACTCTCTGAGTATCGAACTCTATGGTCTCTTTTCTTTTATTAGGTTGGTGTTACTTGTTTTTTTTGTTCTTAAACTAAATTTTACTTAATTTTTGCGTTATTTGTTGACAGATTTGCCTTATCTGGTCATCTTCGACCCTATAGTTATGCTAACAGACTGCATTCTGTACATATGAATCCTGTTTTTTCCTTACATAGAAATTATCCTCAAAGATCCTTTCAGTCGTAGTCTTAACAGAGCCTTTATCTTCTAGTTGGATTCAAACCTGCAATCTTGTGACTGTAATCTGGGAGCACTAACTACTTGTGCTATCGATCTGCAGGTTTTTATTTTATTTTTAAAATTTTTTATTAATTTATTTTATTTTAGTATTTTGCAAAAACAGAACCCTTACTTCTTAGCACTTTCAAGAAAACCAACTCAGACTTTTCAGCACTATGTAACTTTTTTGGTATTTTGCAAGAACATTAATTCAGCTTTCGCAATTTCTAAATTTACAAGAATATAAACTTTTACTTTAGAGAAATAAAGATTTGGGATTTATTTTTTTTATTAGTTTGCTTATACTTTTTGTTTTTTTTTAATTTTTAATTTATTTATTTATTCTTGACTTCTTTGACACTTTGTGACTTTGTCTAGCAATTTGCAAGTATATTGTACAAGATTTTAAAAAGAACGAATTGGTGCAATTCTTATTAAAAAAAATTATAAACTTTCAATATATAGAATATTACAATTAGGTTCCGTATTTGATTTGATTTAATTTGATTTGATTTAAATATTTGATTTCAAATCAAATTCAAATATAGATTTTCAAATCAA